TTTCAAAGGGTTGCACAGGGCGCTGGTGGAGGGCAGCAAGTATGAAGAGTTTGGCTGGGTGCTATTGCAGGTGTTCGTGCGCCAAGCACCCGTTTTGGAATAGCTGCGCAACCCCGACGCTCTGACCAGAAGCGTCCTGCGCAACGGAACTCTGCGTAACAGAACCTTGCATTGCAACAGCATCCAGAGCATCCCAGACACTATCCCAGAACTCAACCCTCCAACAGCACACTGTGCAGCAGCTCTGTTTCATTTGTCGGAACTATACCTTTCAAGTATATGGGGAACAAATCAGCTCGCGACAAGAGCTAGATATGGCTGAACATAGCTGAGTATGGCTGAATATGGCTGAATATGCATGTCAAACACACGCACTCTCCCAACTCTGTGAGGTCTTAATTTGCGGAAGAGTTTGTGCCTCAGGTTGGAAAGAGCGAGGACCTCGAAAAAGAGCTGAAGTTCTGGACCAAAGCCTGTCAAATGAAGGCGCAAAGCCGACTTTAAGTGGACTTCGCGTGTTCCCCACGAAGGTGGAAGTGCAAGGGAGAGGCTGGCAGTTTAGCATGAATCGACACCCACACACACACGTACAGCTGGCAAGAAGGCAATGTGTTCTCGTCAAAGTCCAAGTTCTAGCTTTGACCTTTTTGGGAAATGGGTTACAGTGTGAATAGAGCGCCCTCCAGATGACGAGTGCCCTGCTAGTTTTCCATCCTGGCCATGTTGTTTATTGAAGCTGTGCATTTCTTGCCAGACGGCTAGTCGGAGTTTACATGATGTGGATGTGGACCCACTTGCGAAAAGGATGCTGTTAGCCTTGACCGACATATCCACATCACACTCAACCAGCAGCACGTGTCCAACTACTAGCAGCATCAGTAGTACACCCAGCGCGGCTACAACTAGTACGCTAGCGCATCGACATCCAACGATCAGTGCGAGCACCTGCACGTCGCTTATCAGCGGCGCAAGCAGGGGCGCAGCCACATTTGGCTTAGCTCAACCTTCAGCACCGGTGAAAGCGCATCATACAGAAACAGCGCTTCCGGCTTCACTCAACCCTGCGCCATGTCAGCAGCAAGCGCGTCCAGTCCTAGGATATAAAATGCACACCCTCAGTAGCTACCACCTCCATAGCCAGTGCAAGCGCACCTATGAGGAGCACATCAGCACCCAGCTCAAGTTTGTATTCAAGATTTCACTGGCCGTAGTTGTGCCTTATTTGTCAGTGTTGCTTTCAAGCTGGCGCTCAAGCTACTTGGGCCAGGGACTTACTGGCTGCCCAGCAAATAACGGTTGCGGCAAACAGTGCAAGTCAGCCTGCTCCTGTAGGTCCAAAGGCAGCAAAGTCCTGCCTTCCTGGCTTGCTCTCGCAACTCTGAAGCCATCCACGCACAAAGAGCCAGTGGATTGGCTTGAAGCATCTTGAAACTGTCAATGTTTACCGTCAGCTAGAATAGTAACGTGGATGACACGGCGCACTCATGTTAGGAAATTAGTTGGGGGCACAATGAGTGTTGACGGTGGCTCATGTGTGTTTTGAAGGTGTAGTGCGAAGTCTCAGAAACAAGACGAGGCTCAAGACAGTTGCGTATAAAGCGATAGAACCACTGCAACAAAGTCTGGCTTTCAGCACTTCAACGAGAGGTTCAATGCTGGGATCACAAAGACCTTTCTTGTTCCTGCAGGTGCTCACCGACACCACAGGCGCGTGTGGCAAGCGTTTTTTGTTAGCGTTGCGCCAGCACTAGTTTTGATGTGGCTTAGAAAATATGGTCGAGCAGAATGTCCTTTTGGGGTTTGAGTTTGTTGGGAGTTGGATGTTAGAATCGGCTGCATGCAAGCGCTGCCTCAAAGCTGCCTGCGCTGGGCGATAGGATGCGCTAGGCCAGCCTTGTCACCCTAGCCATGGCGGCTAAGCCGCTATCGCACAGTGAGGTCTTGGCGCTGGTCGCTCCGCTGCTGCACGAGTGCGGCAAACCTTTCCGCAAGTTTAAGAGGGCCTTCATTCGGCGAGCAGATCATGCTGAGACGGTGGAGACCATTTTGAACGGCAAGAAAGAGACAGAGAACGTTGCCAGCGAAGGCAGGCGTGTTCCAAACAGGCTTCTCGCGTGAGAGAAGCTTGTGCGATAAGCTTGAAACTAGCATGCGCCAGTGTTGATTGCCGGCCAGCACTTACCCTTCCTCTTAACCTACCTGTACAAGAGGGTTGTATCGTTTGCTCATTTGTGACACTATGTTGTCGAGTCGACGAAAAACGTTGTCGGGTCGACGAGATTTCCGGAAATGTTGTCGAGTCGACAAGAAATGTTGTCAAGTCGACAAGATTTCCCCGGAAATTTGTCGCGTCGACGAGAAATGTTGTCGGATGTTGTGTTGACGAGTCGACAAGATTTCCGGCAAATGTTGTCGAGTCGATGAGAAATGTTGACGAGTCGACGAGATTTCCGGACATGTTGTCGAGTTGACGAGAAATGTTGTCGAGTGGACAAGTTTTCCGGAAATGTTGTCGAGTCGACGAGAAATGTTGTCGTTTGTCGATATTTCCAGAAGTGTTGTCGAATCGACGAGAATATTGACGAGTCGACGAGATTTCCGGAAATGCTGTCGAGTCGACGAGAAATGTTGACGTGTCGACGAGATTTCCGGAAATGTTGTGGAATCGACGAGATATGTTGTCGGGAGACGGTGCAGTATTTGGGTGGAGCCACACTACTGAAACTTTTTAGTTTGAGTTGCAGGTGTTACTTTTTTATGCCTAAGGTATTGAAAACACTTGTCATAATCCCTTCCTGTAGGGGGCTCGTGAAACTTGGCAGCAGGTGACATGGTGGTGCGCGCAGATACTTCATCTCAGGAGGAGTACATTATCTCAAGAGAGCGTTTTCAGCAGGCCTATGACATGAGCAGCGCTTCCGAGATCGTGGACCACCCAGAGGCGGAGCACTTGCGGTTGCAGGGCTTCATGTCCTACAAGCCGAGGCGCCGGGTCTTGGCAGTGGAGGTGGACGAGGCGTTGCTTGCGAAGCATTTCCCAAGTCGGATGTTTATGGCACCCTGGAATGAGCCCATGGCAGTAGAGCCAGGCGATTTCCTGGTCAATGGAAACCAGTCCACTGAAAGCATCACCGAAATTGTCCGCATCGAAAGGATGACTTTCTTTGAGACTTACGAGCCCTGCTGCCGCCACAAGGATGGTGAGGGGGCCGATCGGACTGAAAAGTCGGAAAGCGCACAAGTTGCCGCGGGCGGTTCCCTACTTGTTCCGCAGTTTACACACCTCAGGTGAATCGCTGTTGGGCCTGCCAACGAAGTGACCAGAGGTAACATGTTGGGTTCTGGACATGTCCCTCCTGTTGCTGAAGATGCTTGAGTTTGAGTGTGTTGCCTTTCTTCCAGCTAGGTGCCGACGGGCTCCGGTCTGTGACAGTTGGCTATGGCAGTGAGAGCTTTGGACGCATCATCGTTGTTTCCTTTGTTTTGTTCTTGTTTGTCTTGGGGGGGAAAGGGCGGAGGGGGCGAGGTTGGCAGAGTTGCGTAAACCATATCATGAACCCATGTGTAAGGAACTTGAAGGTTGCAGCAATAGCTCGACCCTGAAACAATCAGGAGTTAGAGGCTCCCGAGTGGTCTCTCACTAACTACTTGCTAATATGGGCCCCGTTTTGGTCGGGTGTTGGTTTATATTGTACTGTATTGTGTTGTGTTGTACTAAGTGTTGTCTTCTTACATCCTGAAAGGTTTGCGAGTGTCTTCTTAAAAGAAACAACCATTGCCATTCTTCTGACACGAGTTCCTTGGCTCAGGAAGGATGACAGCTCGTGTGCGATCGAGATCAAGGCCACAAATGTTTGTCATGTATTCAGAGTGACGTATGCTGAAGGCAACTATGTAAAAAAGCAATGGAAGCAAGATGATGTGTGATGTCCGGTTTTGATTGCACACCAACAGCAAGATCTAGATCCGCTGCTTTGTTGCTCACAGATTCCATTGTTTAGCACGCATGGCCGATAGAAAATACCATTCGAGCTCCAGCCAGTAGCTGAGTGCGAGCCTCAACACCGTGAACTCTAGGTGGATCCTTCGGCGCTTACGAGGAAGCGGCCGAGCTTGCTGAACTACTCGGCGGCGGTCTCAGAGCAGATGGAATGCATGGGCTGTGCTTGGTTGATGAAACAGCAGGCGTGCTAAAGGTGAGCAAAATTTGCATTGCCTGCAGCGACCTATTCTGCGTGGCGCAAGGTCGTTCTCCTGACAAGAGTCATCTCGCGAAGTACAGTAGGTGGCCGCCAAGATGAATCTAAGAAGGCAACTCATGGGCACACTGAACAGTGAGCGCAACCGGAAGATAAATCAGAATCGGAAGAGTAGAGTATGGGTGCACACAGGAAGCAACACTGCCGATGGTAACAAATACAATTTTAAGTGGTAACATGATGGGAGCGAAAAGGAACATGATTCCCAAATTGATCACTCGTCTTGAGGAGCCACGCCATGGAGCCGGAGTACGGTCACACTTTGTTTCAATTGTATGGATTTTCGGGAGTGAAAACACCTATAAAGGCCAAGGACATTCAAACTGCCACACAAACCGCTTCGGAGGTCCGAGTCCTTATATTTAGCTACGAAGTGTTGCCCTCGGCGAAAGCTTCGCATAGCTTCGCGATGGATCGCGCAAGTTATTTGTTTTCCCTTTTGGATAAGGGCGCTTTGCAAAAGGAAGATGCAATGTGAACCATGGTGTATTTGCCGGCAGTGCGAGCAGAATGGAATGCACAAGGTTAGTCGGAGGAAAGCACAGCCGGAGGAGTACCGCAAAAAATACGCCGCTGGAAAGGCAACCTCCAGCAGAAGCCAGCTTGTTGGAGTTTTGAAGCTTTCAAGTCCATAGCTTCCCGAAAGGTCAGCGAAAGTTCCGTGAAAGTCGATGGACCTTCCACGCCGTCGGCGGTTCTTTTTGCACAGAGCGCGAAGTGGATATTCCGGAGAGGCTTTCTGAATTTTGGTGATTGCTTGTCCACGGTACGCCCGAGTTCCTACAAAGAGTAACCCGGCTGACCTTCCGTCTCGACAGCGTGGCCAACAAGCTGCTGAAGTGCTGGAGGCGCGCTTTCGAGCCGGGCTGCAGACGTGCGCTTCATGTACGACTAGGCGGGGGCCCCTTGTTAAAACGCAGGCTGAGCGCTGAGGCGCTCCTCTGCAGCGAGTTGCTGGACAATGACCAGCTCAAGGCCGCTCAAAGTGCTCGTGGGAGCGCAATTGGTGGAACCGTCTATCTCTTGGGCGAGAGCCTCTGCGTTCTGTGATTCTACCCACAATCCGCAGCATGTGGGAGCGATTGGCGCGATGTCGATTTGCCCTGCACGCCGGCCGCTTCCCGTCACTGAGCTCAACATCCTTGAGCCGGCAATCGCCTTCACGGCATTGCTGCTAATACAATATTCTACGAAGGGAAACACAAATGTGCCTCTACTGTCTTCTGAGTTTCCACAACACCGGTGATTATCTCGAACGGCGCGCGCAAGCGCACACCCAGCAAACTACTGGATCTGGAGCAGCGCCTCAAGCAGGTCCCTGCACGCATATGTCCAGTGACCCCGGTTCGATTGTCAATGGGTGCGGTTCGGTTCTTTTAGCATTGAATTGAATCTCTCAGAATTGTTATTCGGTTCTGGTCGATTCGGTTCCTAGGATTGTGTCGGTTCGGGCCCCATAGACTTTCGATTCCCACCCCATCGGGACAGTGTCACTACTGAAAGCCGCTCCGTTTCCTGACACTAAATACCATTCATTCGCCTTCCGTACCAAGATCTATCAATATAACATGATATAATACTTATATGAATATAGTGCTAAATATAGTATACACATATATTATATGTTTCAGACCTGTTTCAGAGCCACAAGTCTGCCGCAAGCCAGTGTGGGGCATTAATTGAGTTTCAGGCCCATGTCAAAAATCCAAAGCAGCTGTCCACAGTCCGGGCCCCCCGAGTCCAGAAAAAGTCCGGAAACAACTTGGAGCGCGCCGGCTCGGGGTGCCCGAAATGTTAACAAGCAGGCCCAAGCCCCTTTTCTCGATGTGTCTGATTTGCGGGAGCTTTTCTTCCCAAAGCGTCTGAACCGGTTTGAACCAGGTCTGAAACCAGTCTGAAACATCGAATCTCCCCAACTCCTGCTGCTCGCCTGCCGTGAGAAGGTTCAAAACGTGGTAAGAGCCAAGTTCCCCCCCCCCCCCCGCAAAAGGAAGTGTAGAGCGCAAGAAAAAGTTGATTCCATCAACACAAAAAGTTTCAAAGGATGCTCCACCTCCCCTGGCTCCTTGGCGCCTGACTGGCTGATGGCCGCAGCCCAGGCCTCGCAGCGTGACATGGGATGGCGCCTCTTTCCAAGACTTGCCAGAAAGAAGGGCTTTGACCGATTTTGTCTGACCCCCATCCTATCTCATGCCCTTCTCTTCTTTTTCAGTTCTCCTTCCCATCTCCGGAAATTGTTTCCAATTTTTCCGGGGGCAGACCCTGACACTTCCTTGCGCGGGGGCCTTTTGAGAGCCTTCTCAAGGCAGGCGCGGTTGGGGGGATCATTTCAGACTGGTTTCAGACCTGGTTCAGACGCCTTTCAGAAAGTCCCGTTAATCCAACTTGTCCGGGGGTAGCCCTGACACTTCCTTGCGCGGGGGCCTTTTGAGAGCCTTTTAAGGCAGGTGCAGGGGTTGGGGGATCATTTGCCATGTTTCAGACTGGTTTCAGACCTAGTTCAGACGCCTTTTCAAAAGTCCCGCAAATGAGGGAAAAGGGACCGCAAATCAGGCACATCGCGAAACAAGGACTTGGGCCTGCTTGTTAACATTCTAACCATTTTGAGGCGGCGCACTCCAAGTTGTTTCCGGACTGTTTCCGGACTTTTCCGGACGTGCCATGCTGTTTGGAGCCCCTGACAGAATTGAAATCAGATTCGGGGGGCGCGCCGTCCCATCTCACGCTGGGCCGCCGGCCAGGGGCACCGCCGAATCAGCATTGGAAAGTCCGAAGCAACTTGGAGTGAATCAAGGTCTTTAGGCCCAGTACTCTCTAAAAGGCGTCTGAACTGGTCTGAACCAGGTCTGAAACCAGTCTGAAACATCGACAACTCCTGCTGCTTGCCTTGAGAAGGTTATTTCCTATGTTTCAGACTGGTTTCAGACAGACGTTTTTGGGAGAGTCCCGCAAATCAGGCACATCGCGAACAAGGACTTGGGCCTGCTTGTTACCATTCTAAGCCGTCGCACTCCAAGTTGTTTCCGGACTTTTTCCGGACTTTTCCGGACGTGCCATGCAGATTCGGCGGCGCTCCTGGACCCTTAGCGCCCATCCAGGCCTCGCAGAGTGAGATGCGCCCCCCAAATCTGATTCCAATTCTGTCAGGGCTCCCAACAGCATGGCGCGTCCGGAAAAAGTCCGGAAACAACTTGGAGTGCGCCGTTTGTTGTTCGCAATGCGCCTGCTTTGCGGGACTCTC